TTGCACATAAAATGTTTCACAATTTTGGTGTAACATGCTGCGCGCGCACCCTGCGCACCCTGAATTTCCAACACTGATCCACAGTATACTCAATGCATTGAAATCCTAATATTTCAATATCTGCACCTTTAGCTATGGATGAGTCCATACAATCCTTCATAAAAGTACCTAACCGGATCAAATCATTTGAATTTTTGAAAACGTTATTTCTTTCAGAAGGTGGACTTACTTCTCCAACAAAAATCACTGAATCAATTTGTTGTTGATGTATTAAAGAAACTGTGAAATCAGGCTGTTTTGCTCTACTGGCTAAATTTCTTATTTTGCTTTCATGTAATTCCGTATTAGGCCATTGTACTAAGGTCTTGTCTGGATCATGAAAAAGCCCTTTCATTATTCTGTCCAGATTATTTGTAATTAATGTGATTTCGCTGGGGTCATTTCGGATTTTTGAAATAGGCAATGTTCTTAAAAGATCTAATATAATAAAACCAAGATTATCTTTTATGATTTTTTCTTTCGAAAGTTGTTCACATAGCCAAACAACAGCTACATCTCTGGAATCATTTTTCCCCATTTTAATTGCTTTTCTAAAAGTATAAACAGGTTTATCACCCAATATTATTTTTGGAAGTATTAATGTTTGTTGTAGATGCAGTTCTTCTAATAATGTAATGCCAAAGGATCTTATTATTGTTTTGGAATAAGAATTGGGAATAAGCAATAGGATGTATGATAGTGATAATATTTCGTAAGCATTTGATTCAACAAGCAGTTGTTTCTCTTTTCCAATTTCTAATGAGACATCCTGATATGTTTCTAATAATGTTCTGATATTGATTCCATTTATCTTGAGTTCATATCTCATTTCATCTGAAATCAATTAATATATATAAATAACATTAATAAATAAATAAATAATACTAAAATCATATAATCATACATAATAATAAACACACCAGATTTATTTTTAATAGTATCATCAACATTGCTAACATCTTCTAGTGGTATCCGACTGAATAAAAATGGTATAAATTAACCATAGAGAATATAAGTAACTACTATAACAAATATTGAAATCTTGCCTTCGTGGTTTCTTATGCTTGTAATCATAAATAAACAATTGTATAGTAAAGTTATGGTTAGTATAAATCCATTAATTAATTTATCTATTTGAAGATATTATAATTTGCTTACTGATGTATCTTTGATTGATGTTTTATTTTTCTTTATTTTGATTGTAAAAGAAAAAATTTTTTTTTAATAAACATGTAAAATATTTATTTTTATCATTATTATATTAACTAGCATGGCAACAAGTGGCGATAGCCACCACCACCATACTTAAAACACTTACCCTTTTACTTCTTCACCATCTTTTCCTCTGCTTCTCTTTCTCGTTCCTTGAGACATTATTAAAAAAAAAAAGGAAAGAAGTTTAATTCGTGATACGTGAAACAACTGCAATAACAGTCGCAGGACATTGCGGATTTACAGGGGGTCAAGTGTCACTCATATATAAAATTAATGATCTTCGTGCATAATTTTATATGTAAAATCGAAGA